GGAATTTGAACGAATTTCCAGAACTTGTGTTGTAATTGAATGTACTGCAATAATGAACAATCTCTGATTTACTACAGGCATAATACTTTCCTTGATATGCACTACGAGTATAAAAGTAGTACTGCCTTTTAAATGTAACACATTCTAGGTCATTGTTTAAACTCCACATAATCTACGTATGTTTCACATATATATTACAACATGTTCAGACGTTATGAGGCCATAATCTGGAATATATTGTCACGATTTGGCGTTGCGTGTGACAAAAGTATACAAAACTGACTCTCTTGTCTTGGTTGATAAGTTAGTATTTATGAAGTTCTAGGGAATAAGTTTGGTGACTATACATCGCAATATGCTGGAAGTTACTTACAGACGTTTAACAAGAAACGGAGTATGAGTCTCAATGACTGCATTGAATTTGACCTGAATGTGTCTCGAAACAGAACTGCGATTATCAGTCCACCGTAAGAAGTCATATATCTCCAAGCGGTGCGGCAATTGGGCGAATGTACTATGTGCATGCAGGCAGACGCTTAATCAGTTACTGAAGATGTTCTTGTTGAGTTTTATTACTTCAGTGTTGTAGTACCAATAGGTTTCTGTGTAACATATTGCCAGGACCCAACGAAATGTGTGTGGCTGACTAAGGGCGACGCTCTTAAATGCAGGAATACAAGAAAAATAAAAATATTTGCCAAAAATATTTATGAGACCAGGAAATGCTTCCTCTTTATATAAATACTTATATATAGACATAACTTATGTTAGAATTTGTGGACATATAAAGGTCTATCAGGGGTTAGAGTTAAGTGTCGTAACATGACTGCTACGGAGTCAGGAAGCTGTAACTTTCTTTCTGTATCCATAGAATTAAAACTAGCTCTATTTTCAGATTTCAGAATAAAAAATACATATTGTCCTATATTCCTGTATCTACAATCATAGTTATTCACACAACATGTAGGCTGAATTCTAGATGTTATAGGTTTGTTTATGTTATGTTATGTATATCCTAAAGGATTTTCCACCTGAAGAGTTCTCGTTATGTTACTTAATTTGAAGCAGAGTAGTAAATTAATTTCGTGGCAGAAATTGTAACTATTCAGTTCTTTCAACATTAGAGTCAGTACAGTTTATATTTACAGGAGCAGGTATAAATTATCTGTAATTAAAAGTAGAAATACTGAAAGAAATATGTTACTAATAAGTAACATTCTGTTTAAGAAATGGAAACCTAACATTAAACCCGGAATGTTCTGGTAATATTGTGGTTCTTCGATAGTACGTGCCTTACACTGTGACAGCATTGCCCTATATGATGAAAGTAAAGGTCAAAGTGTATCTCTGTGTTCTAGGAAAGCTGCACGATGCTGCGCAATCAGATTCTCTTATTACCATTCCATCATCCTGAACTTTAACTCTCTACTTGAGCGACATGCCTGTCACCACCCACAAACTCTATTCTGCAGTATATTACAGCATGCATGCACATATGCAATTTGAAATACTTGGAAAAATCTGCGGCACTTACAAAAATAATTTTGTTTAAAAATTGATGGACTATGTCAAATTCGACCGTCTCTGTGGCGTAGTGGTCAGATTTCCTGGCTACATATCCAGAGGTTCCGGGTTCGATTCCCGGCGCTACCAGATTTTCTGAGAAGTAGTGGGTCTGGAACGGGGTCCACTCAGCCGCATGAGGATAATTGAGGATTTACTTGAATGGAAAAGTAGCGGCTCCGGTCTAGAAAACCGAGATTAACGGCCGTGGGAATCCGTTGGGAAGACCACGCGACAGCCTCTATCCGCAAAAGTTGGTACTAACTTCGCCGACAAGCGGCGGTCGCTCGGTCTGTATAGTGCGCTTGCTGACTACAGTTCATAGAGAGTTTTTTTTTATGTCAAATTCATTTAGACACACGAAATAAAAGTGGAAGGTAAGGGTCTCGGTGAACCGAATACAGAACACGATCCGGGCTTCACTACGCGACTAAACACATCTCGACCTACGTCCCGTTGTAGTATAAATACGATGTGGCACGTACGAACGTGCAATGCAAGAAACTCATACAGTAGCATCACTGCCTGGCCCCCAGCTACCACAGAGTACCAAAGAACAATCGAAACAGAAATAGTGAGTGTGTCGTTAGATTGGTAAAATAGGCATTCACAACCAACTCGAAATATTTATCCATATTTACGTAGCTTGACAATTTAATACGAACCTATACGCACTGCATGTAGTATTGAAATTCTTTTAACTTTTTTTTTTCCTTGGCACTACAGCCCCAGTGGGCCTAGGCTTACCTCCATGAACTCCGTTCACTTCGGTTTTTCTAGATCTTACACATTCGGTAGGACTCCTTGGGCGGGTGATCAGCTCGTCGCAAGGCCTCTACCTGTACACAAACACAGAAAAACGCACACACACAAATTAAACATCCATGCCCTGAGTGGGATTCGAACCCACGATCCCGGTTTCCAAGCGAGCAAAGACAGTACATACCTTAGACCGCTCGGCTACCGTGACCGGCCAACCAGAGGTTATTACTAAGCAATAGTGACATAATCTTATAGTCAAATACGAATATGGATGCATATTGGAATACAATTTCAGCAACCGATGTAAACTGAGATACACCTGTTGATGACCCAATAAGGGTCGAAATATGTTGTATTCAACATTAATGTAAATAACCTTTTTGTTGCTCATACTTGAATTATTGTGTTGACGGCTACAAATATACTGTTCGGAACGACATACAATAGGCTGCAACCCTTAAAGAAAGGGAAAGTTAGGTTCACAGTTCAATCGATTGCATTTCAGAACGAAACGAGCTCTCGAAGCGAAGCGAGCAGGTTGTCTAGTTTCACCGCTTTAGGTTCGTATTCGGGATGTACACGGTTCGAATCTCCTCTGGGACACCGGCTATCCTGACATCAATTTTTCGTGGTTTTTCTAAACCACTCTAAGCAAATCCCGGAATAGTACCTCGATTAGGCTATCACCACTTCTTTCTATATCCTTCCAATTCATTACTCCTCAGCCATCCTACCATCCGACTCTATACAAGAACCCCTCCACATGATGCAGCCGTGGACATGAGTGCTTGGATTGCATTAACAGCACATGTACATAAGAAGACCTGCTGCTGTAGTGTGGCGCCAGATTTAGTTACGGAGGAAGAGAAACAGATTCTGAGAAAAAAGTTAAAGCTCTTCATATAACAGGCCGAGGAGAACCATACGGTTGTGTGACTTCGATGCTCCCAAATTTTCTAGACAATTAGCTCACAGATGGCGGTGAGATTATCAGTCTTACGCGCTGGCCGCCCTTTAGTTGTCCCCAGGGCCATAGTGCAGCTGGAAGGATTAGGCCAATTGAAAAATCTAATGACTTAATTGGTAATCGAACCAGCGACCTTCCGGGTTGTAGCATAGTGCCTCAACCAACTACGCTACCGCGTACTCCCAAGGAAGTCACAGGTGGACAGAGAAAATTAAAGAAAAAACTTGTTCTCATTACTCAATAGTGTTAAGGCGATTAAAACAAAACAAGTAAAGTGAAGTAAAATAAGGTTTCCTGAGTTGAGTTGAGTTTCAGGCATTGAACTGTGAACGATTAAATTAACTTGCGTGAGGAAATGAAGAAAATTAAGTAGTCGATAGACAGGAAGAGGGGATGGGTTAATTCTGACCTGTTGACCCCCCAGGAATGAATATTAGCAGTTCTGAAAAAAAAAGTACAGTTTAGCTCTTTACAATGATATTATCACATAAATAGCACCCTGATTATCTATTCTTACCTCCAAAATATAAATTGCATCTCCATTCCAAAAATCAATGGCGGTTATGGAGAAGATCGCTTCTTATTATGGTAACATAACCAAACAAACTTTCTTATCTAATGATACAGTATTTAGTATTAAAGCAAGCGGCACATACTTACATATTTGCCACTTTCATACGGATTTGTATACTTAAATTCCAATTTGTAATTATTCTGCGTATTGCTATATTTTTAAAGAGATGCAAAACCTCATCAAAACGTAAGCAGTAAAGGCTAAATTATGGTGGGAATTTGCTTATTTTCACGGGTCACTCAACGAAGTTTTCTGTCTAGAGACTACATAGCTTAGGTTAGCAGGGAGACTGATGAGAACTGGAAAAAATATAGGAGGAAATGTGTCGTGGCCTAGCCTACTGTCCCGGAATTTGCCTGGAGTGACTGAGGTAAACCACAAAAGACCTCGTCCAGGATAGCCGCCGATGTCCAGGCCAAAATTCGAACCTAGAATCTCACGAATACGAGCATCTAAGGCCATCTGTTCATTAACCAATTAGGAAAGTAATGCCACTTCAATACGCTCTTTGCATCTTACATTTGACATGCAACAGTGTTTCTCTTATCCAAGCTACACATCTGTACCTCAGAAACGTAAGAGTGGAAGTGACTGTACATCAGCCACTATATTTCTGAGGTACAGAAATATACTGGGGCACACGGTAGCATAGTTTGTTGAAGCACTGCCCTACAAGCCGGAATATCGTAGGATGAAATGCCGATGAGGTCATTAGATTTTTAATTGACCTAATCATACCAGCCGCCGTATGGCCCTGGGGTCGACTCGGCCTCTTAACAGAAATGAGTACCAGGAATCTTCCTGGGGATAAAGGGCGTCCGGCGCATGAGGCTGACAACTTTACCGCCATCTGTGCGTCGATTGTCTAGAAAATGGGGGAACCTCGATGTCTCACAACCCTATGGGTCTTCACGGCCTGTTACAGGGACAGCTCTACTGTTAGTTCCTCGGAACTCTAGCCGTGGTAGAGGGGTCATACCATCTCTCGCAGAGCTGGGGGGCAGTCTTATCAGTTGACGTCAGCGTATACCTGTACCTTTTTTGCAGATATTAGTCACCAACTTCTCTGCCAGTTGGCAGCACAACTCTCCTATTCTGCGGCTTATTTCAAGATGCTCTCAGGATACAGACCTCTATGTCGAATCACAGGATGCCTGTGAAATGGAAAGAATTTGAAAGGAAACTGTAGTACTCTTACTGACGCGATTTTCCTACAGGATCATGATGTTCGACTCTCCACTTTGATCTACTGACAGCGTCGTTGAATTAACAATGGAAAATATCGTACTATGCTGTTGCCAATTATCTGTAATACATGAAGGGCTGGGACAGCGACGGGCTATGAGCTGGGCGGTCGGGATTCGATTCCCTACAGGAGAAAGGTATTCTGCTCTGCTTCATAGCGTCCAGAACTACCCTGTGATACACCCAGCTTCCCATCCAATGGGTATCGGGGTCTATTGCCTCGGGAATAAATAGACCGAAGCGTGAAGTTGACCACCCACCAATATCTAGCGACGAAGTAAAAAATGGTGGGCCTATATCTCTGTTTCCCTATACGTCTTCATAACGTGACGTTTAATTAAATAAACACATGGACAACTTCACCCTACCTTTGCCTGTAACAAACCACGCAAGCTGCTTAACTGAGATGGCCAACTGGATGGTTAACTAACTAGGTCGTGGGTAAAAGGTAAAAGGTAAAGTTGTCCCTGTGCTTAACTAATTAGGCACTATGCCATGGGAGAGTGGATATATATAGCCACATTTTCTTGACCATGGAACTATTTGGAGGTGAGTGGTCAGCTTCACGCCCCTGCCGCTGAGATGCTGAGTGGGCACCAGAGGCGGTCTGGACGAAGTGGAGAAGAGAAGAATCTTGCCCCTACTGGGACTCGAACACTGACCCCTCTGTCGTCTAGCCTATAGCCAGTCGCTATACCGACAACGCTATCCCGGCTCATAACTAGCCAGCGGGAGACATCCAAAATTTTGTTACAATATCGGGACAGGGTTAAGCCTAATCCATAAAGCACAAGGGGAAATTATTCCTTGCACCAATTTAGCTTGACGTCCAGGCGCGCGGGGCGGCGGTGTAAGCTACATCAGGTCTTTGTTTGCACGTACCGACTTCTGACCCTGCATAACTTAATTTGCAGATGTTCTAAAGTTGTGAAACTCCTGTTCAGTGCACTTGGAACAGCAGTGTGATCAAGTGTCTTGACGCATCTCTGAGTTCGAAGTGTGCCACCAGGAAAGGATGTAACAAAGACAGTTTCTTGTAATGAAAGTGCGTGTGTTGTTCTTTATAGATGGTAGTAAACAGATTTTGCTATTTTAACTATTCGTTGTTTTTATACCATTAATCATTTTCAGAGAGGCAAATTACGAACAACTTCTGTAAGTTACGTTTGTTATTTCGAAGAATTGTTAATGCTTTCTGTTTACGGCATAACAAATGTATGCAGAAAGACAATGATTGTAAAAGAGGCATTCTGGAGTTCAAAATTGGGGGGGGGATGTTTGTGGGTATGGATTTTCAGCTACATCCTCTGTTTTGCTGGAAGTTTTAGGTTTCCTTTAATTCGTGAATGAGACCTCCCTGTCGCGGCCGATCACAGTGGCAGCGCGGTCTGAGGCATGAACTGTCTTTGTCCTCTCGAGCGCTCAGATCCTGGGTTCGAATCCCACTCAAGACACGGATGTCTGTATGTTCTTATTCTGTGTTTATGTTATTCTGTGAGTAGGTAGCGGCCTTGCTACTGGCTGATCCCTCGCCCAAGGAGTCCTGCCGACTGTGTATGGGATTAAGGAACTGAAAAACGGCCAATATCTAAGAAAGGGCTCTTTAGGCATAGACCTTCGTGTTGTATAACACCAAAATATTTGATCAACTTTCATTGTGTTTCTGAGCGCTTATGAGGTGAAAGGCACAAAGGGAAAATTGGATTTGCAGTAAGCCATAATTTCAAGACCATTATGAGATTATAAAGATGTAAAGCAAATGTCACGTAACTTCGAACAAGGCCAAGAGTAACCTTGAATGCGCAGAAGAAAATTTTCAGACAAGGGGGTGTGAGAAGTGACAGGCGACCAGTTGTACAAACAACTGGCCGCCTGTCACTTCTCACACCCTCGAACCCACCCCCTTGTCTGAAATTTTTCTTCTGCGCATTCAAGGTTACTCTTGGCTTTGTTCGAAGTTACGTGACACTTGCTTTAAATACAGAAATATCGACTCTGTAATTAAGGAGTTGCTGTGTATTGGAAGAGGTTGGAAGGTGATATGAATAGAACGGAAGAGGGCAGGAGACCGAAGGTAACTGACAGTTTTATATCGACAAGGCAAAGGGAGAGAGAAAATCCTCGGAAAAAAAGGACTGGGCTTCTCACGTGCATTAATTAGTCTAATGCGAAAAGTAAAGGAAATAGACTTTAGTTAATTGTGGTAATTAGCAACTGAAATTAAGTAAGTTTTTTTCCAGTAGTTATATTTAATCTCTGAAATCCTGTTGCAATAAAATTTCTCAGAAATAACTGTCCTTTTTGCGTGATATTGTCTTAGTTTTCGTGTGATAAACATCGTTAATGGCCAAGCAGATGCCGTAAGTTGGGCGATGATGATAGTGACAATAGTAATAACATAAACATTAGGCGTACCTTATTTGAAGTTTTCATGTGAAGGCAATGGTAATTTTAGTGTTTACGATTCTAACGATTTCGATTAAATTAAGATCATATGCCACAAGTTCATCAGAATAATTCATACACTATGGCCTCTAAACGAAAGATAAGAACTTTCAGGAATTCTTCTGATGTCACAAAATATTTTAAACCGTGTATTTAAATTACCTTTTGTCTTTTCATCTGCTGCCCAAAAACATAAAAATTAGAATATACAAAACTATAATTTTGCCTGTGGTTCTGTAGTTGTGTGAAACTCGATCTCTGAAATTAAGGGACGGACATAAGCCGAGGGTGTTTGAGAACAGGGTGTTTTTATATATATATATTTATTAGCAATC